TTACCTATATGACATGGTCTCAGTGCATGTGACAGGTAAGGCACCAGGTCAAGGCAGCCTCAGGGAGGTCACAGGTCAGGGCTGGGTGGGACCCTGCCCTGGGGGAGTTGGGGTCAAGCATTGGGGGCTCAGGGAGCAGCTGGGTCAGAGCCTGAGCTTCTCTCAGGGCCCCACCTCCCACCCTCCCTCCTGACCCTGCCTGTCCCCCTCTGCTCACCAGCCCTGACCCCTGACATCCTCGTCCCTGGGACCCTGGAGTCTGGCCGTCCCAGCAACCTGACCTGCTCTGTGCCCTGGGCCTGTGAGCAGGGGACGCCCCCCACCTTCTCCTGGGAAGGGCCCTCTGTGTCCTCCCTGGACCCCAACATCATCCACTCCTCGGTGCTCACCCTCACCCCGCGGCCCCAGGACCATGGCACCAACCTCACCTGCCAGGTGACCCTGCCTGGAGCCCGTGTGACCAGGACAAAGACCGTCCACCTGAACATCTCATGTAAGAGCTGGGCTGGGACACCTGGGTCTCTGATGGGGCTGGTCCCTGGGGGAGCAGGGGAGGGGTCAGACCCTGGACACTGGGTGCTGGGTCCTGAAATCATGTGGGGGCTGGGCCAGGAGGATGCAGCCTCCACCCCTCCCCACCATGAGGCTCCTGGGACAGAGGGATGACGTCCCCAGCCTCCCACTGACAGGTCTGCGTGTCTCCCTGCCCCAGACTCTCCACAGAACCTGACTGTAACTGTGTCCCCAGGAGCTGGCCCAGGTAGGGAGGGGCCTCGCTGGGGCTGGGGGGCAGGGCCTCTTCAGCTCAGGGCAGGGCTGGGTCCCCTCATCCTGGTGACAGAGCCCCTTATTGGGGAACCCATTGACCCCACCCCACCTAAGCCCCACATGTGCCTTGAGCTCCTGTCCCCAACCTCCCAGGCTCCCTGGACTCCAGCACCTGCCCCTCACCCCCACAGGGACAGGGTGACACTCTCACAGCAGAACTGGGCTCCCAGGCCCCCTCCCAGCCTCCTCCTGGACCCGCCTCCAGCCTCCTCTTCTTATTCCCCAACAGCTTTGCTCTAAGTGCTTGTGGGAGGAGGCACAGTCCAGGGCACACGCAGAACATGCCCGGAAGTCTGTCCCCAGAGCCTAGGTCCCACCCAGAAGTGACCAGTGTCCATGCAAGCTGAGCCTTGGACCGTGCACCTGAGGACTGAGAGGTCACTGCATGTCAGTAGCACTCAGAGTCCTTGTTCTGGGTGGTGAGGGTGTCCCACTGCCCAGATGGGCCCCGTTCTGTGGGCG